CCAGTTTGCTGAACAATTTTTCCACGGCTAGCTGAAGTCTGAGGTGAAAATCTCTCAAGCAGATCAAAATACAGAGACTGATGGTCTGCAGGTCTGAACTAATCTCCTATCCCAAAAAGAAGGGTGCTAAATTACATTAACAAGCTGGTAATTCACCTCAATCTCAGCAAAAGTCTATGGAAGTTAAAGAATTAACTGACCTTAAACACACCATCTCCATGCCTATTTGTTCATTGACGTTTCTGAGAAATAACTCTTTCCTAGTAAAGCCTGTCAGCAATGTAGGTACACACTAAAATGCAGGTTTCTGCCCAAGAAGGGCAGAGCTGGGCTCTGGCCCGTTGGAACCACCTGGGTCTCACTCCCACCTCTGCAGCACTTGTGCCAGAGGACTGGGAGCCGGAACTGGGATGTGCACGCTCCACTCCCAGGCTTGTGACCTCTTGGAAGTGGACACAGTTAAACCTCCCCACCCCGCCAGGTACACCAGGATGGGCACGTGAAGGAGCTGTGCTGTGATACTTCCCTGGGGAAGATGACTTGCAGGACAGCTGCCAGAATCCACAGGCTGCAGCTTGGATGCTACTGCCTGAAGCTTAGGTGGATTCCCATCCAGACATGAATATACCTCTCCAGACATTTTAAAAATGACCCTCCTCAGTGGCGTCTATTTTTCTGCTATTATTGATCTATTTCAGAACTAATCTGCCTTGTCTTGCAAGGAATTTCACCAAGGTAGTGGGACCTCAAGGGCAATTTAGGAGGTTTTGAGGCAGAGTATTTGAAAACCACAGTGAAATAAGAGTGGAACTATACAAACAGAAGCATCACCCTGCTTAGCATCTCTTACTCAGGCATAGAAATACAAGTGCTTCCACCTTCTAACTGCTGCCCTTTTGTTTTCTTGCTTCCAGGGCCTCTCTGCAGTATCTTGGTGAAGCGATTTGGCTGCAGGTTTGCCGTGATGCTGGGAGGCCTGCTCAGCAGCGTGGGCATGGTGTCCAGCTCCTTCTGCAAGTCCATCAGCCAGCTTTATTTAACAGCTGGCCTCATCACTGGTAAGTACCAAGGAACAGCAGGAAAACCCAGCTGCAGTGCTTGACCTGAGAGACGGGAAATGGCAAGAGCCTCGACTAAGTGCTCACATTTTTCCATTCATCCGTGAAACAGGATAAATCAGAAGCCCCAGGGTGCAGCAGGAAGTGTATAGAAGCTACTCGCCCTTCACACCCTTTTAACACACACCTCATCCAGCCAGGCTCACTGGAAAGCACTTCTCTCTGGAGAAAGCTACAGGTCTCCAGAGGGTAAAAGGGAGAGCAAAGATGTCTGGCTTTTTTAGTAGCTTCTCAGCCTTTTGTATCCAAAGAAGGGAGCTTTTTTTCAATCTTGGAACATAATGTGTTGGGACAATATCCTTCCCAAGTTCCCTGGGATTGTATTTTACCGCTCCCAATCTGGGGAAATATGGAGACATCTTTTTCTAACAAACGAATGTGTTGGTTTTGAACAGAAGTTAACACATGGGAACTTTTCCTTTCCAAATATTTCTCCTATGTGATTGCTGTTCAACTCTTGCTCTTTTCTAACACAGGGAAATTAATTTCTTCAGCCAGGTTACTTTGCGACCAGTCCTGTGGGATCTTGCAGGCTAAGCTGTGTCCACTGCATAGAGAGAAAAACAAGCAACTGCCTGATGAAAGTGTCAGGAAAGCAGTTCTGCTTGTTGCATGTGGTACAAACCCCACATTTTAAATGACAAATTCCATAACAATTTTGGGAATGGCAGCATGCTCCAGACAAATGTCAGCTTAGATCAGTATATTCAGTATACCTGAGAACACAAGGAGTTGAATTCATGCACAGCATCCTTCCTCACCCCTTGTGTGGGGTTTCTGAGTATTAATCACTAGGGGTTGTGCAGCCTGGCAGGTGAAAAAACGCTTCAGTGGCAGATGAAGGCATCTGTGGGTACGCTCTGGATTTGGGTTCTACTCACCCTTTAAGACAACACACCGTCATTTTCTCTTTTATTCTTACCTTTAGGTCTGGGATCATGCTTCAGCTTCCAGGCAGGAGTGACTGTTCTGGGCTACTACTTTGTACGGTGGCGAACGCTGGCCAATGCCATGGCATCCACTGGTGTCTCCGTCGGTTTCACGCTGTGGCCACTGCTTTCTCAATACTTGCTGGATGAGATGGGCTGGAGAAACACTTTTCTTATCTTTGGAGGAATACTGTTGAACTGTTGTGTTTGTGGAGCCATCATGAGACCAGTTCAGCTTCCATCAGGGTCACTGCTACAGTCACCCAAGCCTGGAGAGGAGCCAGGGAGAAGAGCAGAAGAGGCACAGCTGTCCAATGGAGCAGCTTTCCACCCTGAGCTCCAACAGCAAACCAGAAGGACTGCATGTTTCCACGTGCTGCAGAAGTACCTGGCTTTTGACATCTTCTGTCAAAACAAAGGTTACCAGATTTACACTATTGGAGTGACCTGGATGATGATGGGGTTTGCATTACCCCATGTCTACCTTGTGCCTTATGCCATCCAGAACAGGGTAGAGGAACGCAGGGCAGCCCTCCTTGTCTCCATTATCGGGTTCATCAACATCTTCATACGCCCTTTGACAGGGCTGCTCTCAGGACACAGAGTCTTCACTGGGCGACGCATCTACCTGTTCAGCCTGGCTGTGCTCCTCTGCGGGCTGAGCAACTTCATTTGTGTCATTTCAGCTGAGTACAGCGTGCTCATCATCTACTGTGTCATCCTCAGTATAGCCATGAGCGGCGTTGGGGCGCTCACCTTCCAGGTGCTGATGGATGTGGTGGAGATGGAGAGGTTCTCAAGTGCCCTTGGGCTCTTCACAATCCTGGAGAGCATCACTCTCCTCATTGGACCCCCCCTCACAGGTAACAGAAACTATTATTGCAGGCTGGGGAAAAACTGACTATTTAGACACTGGTGACCAGTGTTTGGGAGAATAAAGAAAAGAAATAAGGGAGTTTCCAAACCCATGTAGGCAGGAGAGTTCTGTAGAAGGAGCAGTATAAAAGGTGAGTCACAAAGGAACAATTCAACCCCTTTTCACACCTGAAGGAGGGTCATCTCTGCAGCTTCCCAAGTGTCACTGCAGCAACATCAGACAGAAAAAGTTACTCACTTGGTAGGCAGCTTTGATAGGTATGGGAATGATGAGAGCTTTCTTCCAGTGAGTGGCAAGAGAGGAATTACTGTGGTATATTCTTGCTATGATCTCTCTCACTGGATTGTTTTATCTATGAAGTCTCAAGGATTTGCAGACGTCCCATAAAACAAAATAACTGTGATCAGAATTACTACCTGTCCTACATTATTCAAGAGCCTTATATAAAAAGCTTCTGTTCACTCTCCTTTCCAAATGCTCCAGAGTGTATTAATTTTTCTCTGGAGACAAGAAAGGAGCTAGTTATAACGCCCAATCTAGTAAATTATTCACTGATTTCACCGTTCGCTCCAATTGCCACTAAGTGACCTGCCCAAGATGCACCTGCTCCTGCAGTACAGCAGCAAATTCAAAAGACTGACAAACAAGAAATGTGAACCTGAGCACGAATCCTTAACTCGGGCTTTAGTTCTCTTGTCCAGACAATGAACTGTGTGCTATTCAGCAGGGAAATAATGTCTGTTCTAAGAATGGGATGATACCATGCACCATATTTCTTCGTGTTGCCTGTGTCAGTCATTTTTCTCAAAGTGCAGAAGTCTTTTTCTTAGATATCTCTGATAGAAGTGGCAGACGGGCAAAACAAAGCCCAGTAAAAGTGACACTATGTCTATTTGCAGTCCTAAAATCTGCTACAGAAAAGTGAAATGTGATAAGAAACATCACCAATCTTTAGAGAAAACCACAAGCAAACGTTATTCCAGTATTTCTACATAAATAAGCAGCCTATAGGAGGCATCATGTATTTGACCTGAGTATCACCTTTCTATCTCTTAACATTAGTGCTAAATGAGCCATTTGATATATCACGCTTCTACGTGTTTTATACTGAAGCACTTAACATTAGTCATAACGCTTGCTGTGCTGCAACATTTCTTCTTCCTGATAACATGCTATTAGAGACAAGTTTTCATGACCCTAACGTGGCAATTTTTGAGAGACTTCTCTACTCTGTGACCTAGGATGTACCAGGGTCACTCATCCCATAATCCAGTCAGTGGCAGTGGAACAGGGGTCCTCTGCTGAGTAAACAAAATTAATCAGCAGGTTGTGAAAAAGTTGCAATTTCTTTTCTTTCCTGATTTCTCTATGTATTGAGAGACACTTTATACAGAAGCAGAAACATCACCTGAGTGGTGACTACAAAAAACCAAACTCCTAGAATCTAGAGAACAGAACTTAACTCATCTGTGAATGCTTATGTTTTGTATGTGGCAGTTTGCTGAATTAATTAGGTTTAATATTTATGTAAATGTCACCCAGTTGCCTTTAATAGGCATCTTCTTTTTGACTAAGCTGTGGCTTCTATTTCAGGTCTCCTGGTAGACTTAACTAGTGATTTCCACTATGTCTTCTACACGTCCAGTTTCTTCCTTATATCAGCTGCATTATTCATGGGGCTCAGCTTCTCCGCTCTGGAAAAAAAGAACAAACTGCAAGAGGCTTCAAAAGTACCTTTGGCTAATCCCTCCAAATATCCATACAACGAAATGACAACTGAACCACGGTCTGAAAGTCAATCCCCTCCAGCAGTCGTGTACATCACAAGCATATGAAAACAAAAAGAAAAAAAAAGAGGATGACAAACAATTCCATGGCCTGTACAGAGCTAGACAGGACCCAGCAGCGACGGCAGATGAAAAAACAAGCATCTGCTTTCCACAACTGTCGTCATCCTTCTGCCCTACACTTCCACTCCATGGGGCCGTGTCAGACTCCACGTGAGCAACCCAGACCACAGGCTGAGCCCAGCACCCAGAGCCAGCCAAAGAGCCAAAGGACAAAGAGAGCGGGGCTTTCCTAAAGCAAACCGTGGGATAACAGCCATGGTCACCAGTGCTGAGAGACAAAAGCTGCATCAGTTCAATTGGTCTAAGTCAGTGCCTTTAAGAAGTCACTGGAATTTCACGCTTCAGTCGGTAGCACTGGGCAATACGTATTAACAGCTACGCACATGGGTAGTTCTTTCACAAAGAAGTATTACTGTCTCGTCTGAACATGCAATTTTGGTGCAGATTTCTATGAAATTTCCTGGTTGCTTCCCATGTTGGGGGTAGCAAGACAAACACTTTCTGCAGGAAGTGTGTTACTATTTTCCACATCTCTAAATATCGTATGGAGGCTGCTGCATGAGTTATCTACTAACTTGTGTGAGGTATATATGTGAGTTCTTCATGCCAAGGACATTTTCCAAGCCTCAATGGTTCAAGTCCAGAGCATCAAAAAGTAAAAAATCAAGCCTTAGAGTGCCTGCTTTGTACTGCAAATGGTATCTTCCTGATATATCATAAAACAGGATTCATGGCTTGTGTAAATACACTTCCTTACAGCACTAACTTGCAGGGCAAGGGGGGCAGCAAAGGTGTTACTATACCTAAGAATAAGTGTATGCATCCTTATGTAGGCTCAAATTCCTGGCCACTGTAGTTCCCCTTGTGTAAACGAATTAATCTCTTTAGTCTTAGACTGTCATGACTTAATTACACCTGCATTCTCATTATAAAGAAGTTTGCACAAGTGTAACTTAAATTTCTAATAAGCACAACTTACAAAGAAATCTGCGGGAAAAGTATACTGAGAAAAGCCAGTGCGACTGCCCACACCAGCCTTGCCTGCAAGTGGCTTTTCTTGCTGCGCTCCTGGGAGTTGTACCTGTGCTGACAGCTCCATCAGCCTCTAGCCTCTCGGTGCACCAGCTCGAGTTGCAAACTGTTCATATTCTGTATCGTTCCTGAGCTGAGAGAAGCAGAGAATACCTCACAAAGCAGATGAAGATCACTCAACACATTAGAATCATCAGAAAGACGTTAAGCGTTAAATGGGAGTGGAACGGAAGAAGTAACAGCATTCGACTCAACTGCAGTGCCTACCCTGAGAACTGTTAGATTGAATTCCTAGCAGCAAACCCACGGTTTTCATTAGAGCTGTGGGCTCCCCAGACAAACTAAACACACCACAAAAAAACCCACACTGGACGAAACCACTGAAAAACTGACTCCAAAGTCTTCAGAGACTATAACGGCTTCACAGCTTGCTTTTACAGTGGAAGAGGCATCAGCCCTCCAGAAAGCTCCCACAGCTCAGTATCTTCAGTATTTGCTCTAGGATTACTGAACCAGTAGGTTTTTCATTTCCTGATCAAACCTGCACTTAAATAAGATGACTGGTGGGAGACGTACATACCTAATCTCTCATCACATGTGTTTATTAACTTGTGTAATGCTTACATGGTCTGTAACTACCGAGTAAACAAGACCTGGTGCTTCTCAGCTAACTGAAACAATGACTGCTGTACATTCCTAGGAAAAAAATGGGGCTTTCTCCCTCTTGAAAAAAAAAATAAAAATCAAGTTCCAAGTCTCTTCTAGTTATTGCAAATAAAACAGCTAAGCAAATGAACAGACTGCCATTTTTTCTGTGTATAATTCTGAAATTCTCAATTCTGTTCACCCTTCTATATTACTTTTCTGTTTTGTTCTAGGAATAGGGGGTCATATTGTCCCAAATCCTCACACTGCTACAAATGTCTTGGGCAAACTAGGCAAGATACGGTGTAAGCTACAACCCATCCAAATTTATCACAGGAATACAAAGGTCAGTTGATGGAGCAACAGAATGCATCTCCTGTGTGGAGCTGGCTGCTCTATCTGCAATGCTTTAGCCCCAGCTGGCTCACGAGCAAGGAAATGTATAGTCTGATGCAGGCTTGGAAGATACAAGGGAGGAAAATAAAAGGTACTCACCAAGTGAGGCTGACACAGAGATCAGCTCCTCCTACGCAACGGCAAAGAAACTTGTTTTGACTATTTCTCAGGTGTGCGCAGCAGCACAAGATGATTTAGGACGGAAAGTTAAGAGAGTGCTTTACAGAACTTCTTTTTGATAACTCCCAGACTCAACACCAGGGTCATTGGGACTTATTTGTAGAAGCAGAGAGATGTTTCTGGGAAGAAAAACAATGACTTCATAAATCAATTATTCTAACATTTCTCAACCTAACTAAAAAATTTCTAACACCCTTACAGAATTTAAGCTGCATGAAAACAGGGTTGTCTCCCCTGGTTACTTTCCATGGAGCCTTTAGAAGTAATCCACAACCCATGGGATGGAAACAAATCTCGGAGAGAGAATGGGTAACGTTTTAGACTGTTTCCACAGGTAAGTATGATGTCTGAGCTCCTATTATAGAGAAAACTACCTTGCCTTCTCTCCTGTTCCATAGCCCTCCTCTCCTCTTCAACCTGAACTCCAAGCTGCCTTGAGCAGGAGCTTTGTGAAGTGCAATTGAAGGGACCTTGCATACTGAACGTGCTACAGTATAATAAATATTTCCCCTCAGAGCCGTCATACAGGCTCAGTAACACTCAGTCTTTAAGAGTCTTGAGGCCCAGAAGAAAAATAAAGCAATAAAAGTTCCTTTCATTAGTTTAAGGTCGTCCCATTACACAAGGCAACCACAGTCCCCCTGAAGCAGCTTTTTTTTCACCACCTAGAAACAGTCAAATAACCCTGTCTTTAATTATGGACAAATACTAATACTTCTGCCCGGTTCTAAACCTCCGAGAGCCGGCAGAGTAACAAAACTTGATGAGAAATAAATGTCCCTTGCTCCTAGTCCCCTCTCACCCCTTCTTGCTGCCTTTATCATGTGAAGTATCATTAACCTTGGCAAGATAAGCATTTTTGCAACAAGCACCTTTCTTTATTGCAATACAACATTCACCAGGAAGTTCACAATGAACTATTGCAAGATTTTGATCCTTAAAAGCCTTAGATACGCTGCCAACGTCATTCTTTGAAAAGTTTAACAAAATCCCAAAGAAAGGTCACACTACACTTACTCTGAAACAGCTCAGAAGTGCAAAATCACTTAAATTAAGAGCTGGGCGTGTGTTTTGCAGACCTGGCTAGTAACCACAAGAAACACAACTACTAGAAATGAAAATTCCCTGAATTCTAACTTTGGTGTGCTACTAATGTCACTAGAGTGGCCACTGGAACTATGAATACCTCAGCTACAGCAGGCCGTTCTGTGCTAACTATTCTGGCAAACAGCAAGAGCTTGGGGCATTCAGACAATTTTAAACAATATCGGCAGCACAAGGTGAGTAAAGAGCCAACTCTGCCTACCACCGGGTGATCTTTCTGGATGATCAGGACAAACTCTCTGTCGTTAGTCAGCACAAAGACAACAAGAATACACCTGGTAACAAAACAGGTTGCACCATCCCTGCTACTCCTGCAGAAAAAGAAGATACAAAACCAGGGGATGTTATCAAACTCTCCTCCAGGAGGCAGCTCCAACATGGCAAATTAGATGTAAAATGTTTCTCATATTTCTTAACCAGCTACGATTAAACCCAATGCAAGACAAAGGCTGGAAAGGCTGCAGCTCGCAGGTCTCGGGAAGACAAGAACAGGAGTTCCTTGCCTCCTGGTTCGCCATATACTGAGCAGTGTGACCTGGAGATGCATCACCTGAAACTGAGCCAGCGCACACACCAGCCTTTCCTAAACATCCTTGTCTGGGACACCACCCCAGGGGACAATGATGCTACTGCTTCTGTGCCTGCAGAATGATACTGACTGACCACAAATGTCATACTTAAAACTAGTTGTAATTGCATTGCTCCTCTTTAAATACTGTTTTCAGCCCCTTATTAGTCAATCCCAGTATCCTTAATCACTTCTCTTTGTACTGACTAGCTTATGTGTTTGCTTTCTCTTCTCTCAGTCATTCACTTTCTGTGTAATGACAGATGTGACTTTAAACTACCATCAACACGTATAAAGAGATTAAGAGATTTCATAACACACTAACAAAATATTCTAGCACAGAAGTAGTCTGTAGCACCTTTGCTGATCACTTTCATACATATATACACAGACACATATATATACACACACAGAGCTACACACATATATACCAGCTTCAGCTGATCCTTATGGTAAGAATGCAAGCTGCCAGCACAAGCCTGGCTTAAACTTTTATGCCAGGTGGAAAGAAATACCTTCACTTCCACATTCTCCTCCTTCCCACACCACTGCAATATTAAAAGATTTAGCGTAACTGCATTCAGCGTAGCTTCTTTGCTCACCCTTCTAATTAATGTGGTCATGGGCGGATATTTTACTACACGCAGCTGGGTTGCAGGAGAGATTCTCAGCCCCACATTATTTGTAAGCGATGCCACACATTTGGCAGATCAGTCTGTCTGCAATTTGCTTTACGTGACAACCAACTGCATTTGAGGCAACACCAAAGACATTATCTGCTCACAGCCCGTGTCCTACCTTACCTGCAGAAGAACCTCGGCGCATTTAATTGCTTCAATAAAAGCAACACAAATTTCTGTGGAGTCCAACCCCCAGTTTATGATGTTCACATGCCTTTACCTTACTTATTTACACATAAACCGCAATTGGATCCGCCTGGGGTGCTTCTAATCCCAGTGGTTTCCCGGGAGCTGTGCTCGGTCAGAATCATGGGATCGCTCTGCTTTGTGCTTAGACCCGGCCATGGCGCAGCCAAGAAGCAAACACCTGCTGCTGTTTG